GCAAAGGAAATTGTTCTACTTGGAACCATGAGTTCTACATAGAACCTACATATATAGAACCATTTTCAAAAAGGTTCTATATAGAACCATATCCAACGCATTCTCTATCAATATGAAGAACCATTTCACCATGCAAAGAGCCTTTTAAGCATGGAATGGTTCTTCATATTGATAGAGAACGTGTTGTATATGGTTCTATATAGATCCTTTTTGAGAATGGTTCTAACGGTAACACTTTCTATGAATGTCACCTTTGTAAGCATCTATAAACATATTCATAACATGTTATAATGCATTCATGAGGCATTATAAACATGGCTATAAATATTTCTAAAAATGCATTACATGTTATAGCCATGCTTATTATGCATAATGAATTGTTAACATAATACATTATAAGTACTGATCATAACAAATTATAAGAGCTCATAAGTCGTATTTGTCCGCTCTAAGTAAAGTGAAGCGTACTGTACTAAAGCCTCCTCCAGTGTTCAGAGTGAGGCTTCAAGTTGAAGTATTTACTGACGGATTTACTGAAACACTAAAACATTCACAATAAAGCACATTACAGGCTTCAAATGTCAGAGTTTAAACTAGAGCTGCCATCAGTGTTTTACCCAATGTGGGAAAGGTAATGTACACCACCGTTAGCTTGGTACTTTACTTTACGCTCTCCAAGCTGGGACTGACTTCTTTGACACTGACAGTATAACATGTTATCAACACTACTTATAATGCATTATATTATCATTTCATAATGTATAATAAACATGGCTATAAAGTGTAATTCATTTTTATAAATGTTTCTAATCATGTTTATAATGCTGTATGAAGGCATTATAACATGTTATAAATGTGTTTATAGACGCTTACAAACGTGACATTCATAGAAAGTGTTACCAATGGTTCTATATAGAACCAAAAATGGTTCTGCTGTTGTTACAGTATCAAGCTTGTCACAATATAAGACACATTCTCCATCAATCTGAAGAACCATTTCACCATGCAAAGCCGTTAAAGCATGCAAATGGTTCTTTACAGAACTCATGGTTCTAAATAGCATCATTGCCTTTACTAAAGAACCTTTGAAGAGGCAACTTTTTAAAGTGTGTAGTACAGCTCAGGAGTTACCAGGCATATTCTAGATCAACAAGATCATCACATTTTAATAAATTATTATTTTAAATGTTGTTAGGACGTTATGGAAAGCAGGTTTGTGTGATTTGACTGGACGTTCTGTGTGTCAGGTTCGAAGGCATTTTGATGGACATAAGATGTCAAGCACAGCCGACGTGGAATGAATCTCTGATTGCAATGGAACCCAGAAGCACATCTGGTGTGAATTGGCCATAAATGTATACAGTCTGTAGCTTGTAAGAATTTTATGCACAAATCACACACACACACACACACACACACACACACACACACACACGCACACACACACGCACACACACACACACACACACACACAGACCTCAGGCTTGTTGATGTCCCACTGTCCCACTAATGATGCAACTCTTCACAAAAATAGGATTGTTTTTCATACCTGGTGCCAGACAGCAGGGAAGAAATCCTGTTGCACAAGAAAATAGAGTATTTAATATCTAAATTATATTTATATACATTTATATGCATTCTTCATTTTAGTTAATTGCAAATATGTGTCACTTGATTATTTTGTGAAGGTTGTTAAAGGTCATAAAATTAAATTATGACATATTTCACCCAAATCTGTCTTCATCCAGCATTTAATGACTGCACCTCTCTTGTACAGATGAAAGATATCTATATATCATGTAAGTGAACTCCTAAAAGCAGCTGTGTGGACTGAGCTTTTGTTGTTTCTCTGTAAAACTGCCTGGCCAGCACCACACACTGCCTGTCCAGAAACTAGACTCAGGGCAGAAAAAGAAACAGGGTGCACAAGGCCACTGCCGAAAGAATTCACACCAATGGCTGGCTTTGAAGAAAATATGGATGGATCAATAACGGGTGTGAATGAGAAGCAGGATAGAATAGCGGTATTGATGTGGAATAGACCTTAACTCTTGTGTGGTGTTGGGGTCTGTGGGACCCATTTTCAGTGTTTATCAAAAGAAAAAATTATGTGATTTATTATTATTACCTCAAATTAGTTTGGCCTTTGCTCATTTTCTGTGAAAAACATATAAAATAACCCATTTTCAGTGTCTTCACTCTGTTCACCCCCCACACATTTATATTACACATGTGGTGTTGGGTGAACCAGCTGGGAGTAAAAGAGCGGAGGTGCTGTTTCCTTCAGTCTGTTCTCCTCCTACATGGCCTGCGGTTAGTATGTGTGTGTCTGTGTGTGTATGTGTTTGTATATGTGTGTGTGTGAGAGTGGACAACATGGACAGGCTGCTGACTGGCTACAGCTACTAAAGGAGAACCCTTCGCTGGACACTTGTGATATTTTAAATATCTGGTATTTTTATATAAATTGTTATGACTGTATTGATTTTCAAAACAGTAATGCGGTGGGTCCACCAGACCACTGAGTAACAAACACATCAACACCACATCAGGGTTAATCTTAAAGAGACAGTTAAGCAAGCAGTCAATCATTTAATCAATCAACCAGTTAATCAATAAATAAATAAATAAACAAACAAACACATCTTCTCTAACATCCCAAAATGGAGTTGATCAGCCAGGACATTTTACAGCCAGTTTAAGTGAGCTTAAAACTGACTTTATGCGGTTTCTGATATTAAATGACATACTATTAACTCTAAAAATCAACAAAATTCTTGTCAAAAGTTTGGACACATAGCTGAATATGTATTTTTTTATAATCTTAACAACATTTGATCTAATCTACATTCTTAAAAAAAACATCTTTAATGGTTCCTTAGGAAAGACAGTGGTTCTATATCCAACCATGAACACTGAAAGAACCATTTGCATGCTTAAAGGGTTTTTTCCAGCATGAAATGGCTCTTCAGATTGATGGAGAATATGTTGCATATGGTTCTATATAACACCAAAAAGGGTTCTGCTATTGTTATGATGCCAAGCTTGACAATCCAACAATTGAAGCTTTTTGGTGCTATTGAGAACCCTTTTCGAAAAGGTTCTACATAGAACCATACATGCATTCTCCATCAGTCTGAAGAACAATTTCACCAAGCAAAGAACAATTTAAGCATGCAAAAGGTTCTTTGGGTGTTTAGAACCATTGCCTGTACTAAAAAACCCTGAAGAACCATCTTTTTAAGACTGTAAGCTTATGCTTAAATGCAAATAAAATTTTCTTCCAAGACAAAGAGTGAATCTGATCTCTACGTTCTATTATTTAAAAAACAACAAAGTTTAAACTTAGGCTAATAAAACGGAAACAAGAAAGAAATTTGAAACCCCCTAATAAGTGTTTTTCAGCAACAACAAGCTCTCAGTGGAAACAACGGAAATATATTTCTCTGACAAACATGTTGGCACATTGTCCACTGAGGAGAAAATGCCTTGTGTAAGAGGACGAGTCCTCATCCGCATCAACTCTTGTATCGGTTAGCTCACATTTGAAGAGCTTCTGTTTCATCTAACACAAAAACAACAGATTTCTCAGCTTTTTTGAATAACTAAACATGTTTTCATGTGCATTCCTCTGGTAAATATTTGTGCTACTGATTTTTCCCTTGTAACACCAGCACTGTCACTAAAAGAGTGAGCCTCCAGGTCCAGCCCTGTGGTGATTTCAGTCAAAGTATGTAGTTAACCAGATATCCGTTCAGTAACTCTTGTGGATACTAGAATGTCAAAATTAATCGGAATAGGAAAGGGAAGGGAAAGCTGTTCTTTTAAAGCCAGCATTTCCAATATTCATCTTCATGGAGACGAGGAAGGAGGGAGGGAGGGAGGGAGAAAACGAGAGAGATGGCTTTCTCTGTGGTGTGCACAGGTGTGAATGTTCCACACAGACGTAAGCAGGCCACTGTTTGTCCAGAGAGAATAAGAACATGAGGACAAGGTTGCTTTGCCTTCATCCATTTGCATTCACACATAGTCTCAGTCACTGAAGGACACTTACTCATGCAGTGAAAGAGCCCAGCTCCATCCAGAATATCCACTTCACACACATGCATGAACACACGCACATTACATGGCTATTATGATCTCCGTAGCTTGCTCAGTTCTCCAGGGTTCCTGGGTAAAATGTCAATTATTAGCCGTGGCATGTGGGAACACGCAATGTTTAAACTGTCTGAGGGTTCAATAGATACACAACGCTGGCCAAACACACACTTCTTATGGCAGCTCATCCCAGAGCGGCCCTTCTCACTTCCTCTCCATCTCCTCTAATTGTTTCCTGCATGACTCATGCCCACTGCCACCACGTTTGGCTTGGTCCTTTTATTTCTCACCCCGTTATCATTTAATTATGTTTTTTGAATTACTATTTCCATCTAACCTCCCTTGCTCCCCTACGTCCTACACCACCTCCTTCTTCTCGTCGGTGTTGTTTCATTCTTCTCATGGCCTCTGTTGATTTTTCCATGTCTGTATTTGCACGGTGTAATGACATCTTCTAATTGCACGTTTTGCCATTCTCATCACTCACGTCTCTGCCTTTGAACGTCAAGCAAACACTGCCTAATTGGCCTGTCAGATTATCTGAAAAACAAAAGCAGTGCATTTCAAAACTCTACTATAGGCAAGTCTCCCTGAAAAATATGAAATCTAGCCCTTCACAGAAAAAACTTTCAGTGAAGAATCAAAATTAGCTATGTGTGACGGTTGAGAATGAAGTTTAATCTGTGTCTGGGAAGTAGCCCAGAGTCATACTCTTGCTATCGCTTGCATATATTTCTATTTCTATAATGATTTTGACATATACCATGTGTTCTTTGTCATTCTGACTTTGAGCAATGTAGGAGTCAATCCAAAATTATGTGCATTTTACATGCCAAAGTGTGGCTTTTAGTGTCAGGGAACACTGAAAAGAAAATGACATTTTCTGTTTCACTCTTTCATAGGACAGTGGCCACCAGCTGAGCACAGCTTGAGAGAGAGGGTACCAGTGCTATGATGGAGTTTACCTCTGCAGACGCTTCTGCCATAGCAGAGCTTTGTTGCAACATCTCCCTCCCAGGGTTCCTCTTTAATGATACATTCCTCAATAACACATGCCACTTTAACAACTCCAAGTGCGCCAATGGAACTAATTCTGGAGACCGGCCAGGCACAGGAGTGGCCGGAGTACTAATCCCTCTCATATACATCATCGTCTGCATCGTTGGCCTGGCTGGAAACACTTTGGTCATCCACATAGTCCTACATTACTCCAAGACAGAATCCGTCACCAACATCTACATCCTCAATCTGGCCATTGCTGATGAGCTTTTCATGCTAGGCCTCCCGTTCCTGGCCGTCCAGAATGCCATGATGTCTTGGCCGTTCGGCTCTTTCATGTGCCGTCTGGTGATGACAGTTGACGGAATCAACATGTTCACCAGTATCTTCTGTCTGACAGTGATGAGCATTGACCGCTACTTGGCCGTGGTGCATCCCATCCGCTCTTCCAAGTGGAGGAGGCCACAGGTAGCCAAGGCAGTGAATGGATCAGTATGGGCTTTGTCCTTCCTGGTGGTCCTTCCTATGGTGATCTTTGCCGACGTCTCTGAAAAAGGAGGTACGTGCAATATCAACTGGCCACAACCATATGAGATCTGGCGTGCCGCGTTCATTATTTATACATCCACGGTGGGATTCTTCTTCCCCTTGCTGGTCATCTGTATGTGCTACCTGCTCATTGTGGTCAAGATACGGAGCTCCAGCAAGAAGGTCCATGCCACTTCTACCAAAAGGCGCAAGTCTGAGCGCAAGGTAACTCGCATGGTCGTGATAGTGGTGGCCGTGTTTGTTTTCTGCTGGCTCCCTTTTTATGCTCTCAATATCATAAACTTGATCGTGTCTCCACCCAGCAACAACCTTCAGGGCCTTTACTACTTTGTGGTGGTCCTGTCTTATGCCAACAGTTGTGCCAACCCCATCGTTTACAGTTTCCTCTCTGACAACTTCAAGCGGGGTTTCCGGAAGGCACTGTGCCGCTCTTCTAGGAAGGTGGAAAACCACGAACCAACAGAGCGCCAGGAGCAAGAAGAGCGCAGGCAGATCCTGATGCCCAGAGAAAGCCTGCGCAGGGTGGTAAGAGATGATGAAGAAGAGGATGAGGAAGAGGACAGGGAGGAAGTGACTGAGATGACTGAAATCTGCAAGATTACCCAGAACGGAAATGGCAGCGGACAGGCCGAGAGTGCCCGTGCCTTGTTCTCCGAGAGGCCATTAGCTCCAGGGCTGTCTGAGCCTTGTACCCCAGACAGGAGAGGCCCAGGTGGGGATGGGCTTGGCAAAGGTTCTGGCTATGGACCATCCACAACCCTGCTAAACGGGGCAAAAAATGGCAGTGTGAAACCCTTGCCAGAGGAACCTGTGGAGAAGAACGCCTCACTGGAGATTAGCTACTTGTAACATGACTCTAAAAATGTCTCATACGTTACTTGAAACAGAGCCACAGTATTTCTATCATTGTAATGTTTAGCCTAACTGCCACACTGGAGCCTTGTTCAAATTTGCAGCTTCTCTTGTGAGCCCTGACTGAAACCTCTACCCAAGACGAGAATGTACCGACATTAATGCTATTTCTTTTGTAATTATTCTGTAAATTATAGAAGCTTAAATTATGGAATATTCCTCAGCAGCAGTTGGCCTTACTGTTCACTTGTACACACTATAGAGTTTGTAAAGATGATGTCATCGCTGTTCTGCCTGTGTTCTCAAATTCCATCTTGTGCGATTCGTGTGATACAAAAATCACTTCTTCAATATGCTTGCATGAACATTCTCTAAATTTGTCCTGGGCTTTTTTCCAACCTGATTGATACCATAACAGTGAAACAAAGCTGATTTTCATTTATTGAATCAGAAATGCTTTACTTCAAGGGTGCTGCTTCAGTTTATGACATTAAGCAGACACTTATGTAAACAAAACTCTGTTGTTTGACTTGACCGTTGATTACATAGACACATTAACACCGTTGACAGTCTGTGGTCATCTGCATCTGGTTACAGATCAGTTTGTTTTTTGCGTTGTTCTTGGATGGGTATTTATGTATCCTTTGTAAATATGTTTTAGAAGCCTCCCTCAGGGGCCTTTAAAAACAAATGTGTGTTTTATTGGATAGAAAAATCTTTCTTTGCATTTCAGATTTTTGTAAACAATACTTGAAGAGGCATCAAAGTGCACTGACAGGTAACAGTCTACAACCCTGTTTCCAAAAACGTTGGGACGCTGTGCAAAAAATAAGTAAAAACAAAATGCAATGATGTGTAAATCATTTAAACCATTTTGAATTTTATTTTCAGCAACATGATTCAAAAAGTTGGGACGGGGCAACAAAAGACTGATAAAGCTGTGTGATGCTTAAAACACCTGGTGGTTATTTGGCAACAGGTCAGTCACATGATTGGGTATAAAAAGAGCATCCCAGAGAGGCTGAGTCTTTCAGAAGTATAGATGGGGATGGTTTCACCACTCTGTGAAAGACTGCACAGGCAAATATTGCAACAATTCAATAATAGTGTTTCTTAATGAAAATTACCAAAGAACTTGGGGATTTCACCATCTATGGTACATAATATCATTAAACGATTCAGAGAATCTGGAGAAATCTCTGTATGCGAGGGGTGAGGCTAAAAACCAATATTGGCTGGTCGTAATCTTTGCACCCTCAGGCAGCATTGCATTAAAACAGACATGACTCTGTAGTGGAAATCACTGCATGGGATCAGGAACACTTCCAAAAACCACTGTCTGTGAACACAATTTGCTGATGCATCCACAAATGCAAATTAAAACTCTACCATGCAAAGAAGAAACCATATATATAAACAGGATCCAGAAATGCTGCCCCCTTCTCTGGGCCCCAGTTCTTTTAAGATGGCCTGAGGTAAAGTGGAAAAGTGTCCTGTGGTCTGACACATCAAAATTTGAAATTCTTTTTGGAAATCATGGATGCTGCATCCTCTGTGCTAAAGAGTCACTACAGTATGACTTCATAGTAAAAGAGTCCGGGGGCTAAACTGGCCTTCCTGCAGTCCAGATCTGTCACCCATTAAAAACATTTGCCGCATAATGAAATGAAAAACACAGCAAAGGAGACCCTGAACTGCTGAAAACCTAGCAAAACTGAGAAAACATTTCACTTTCAAATCTACAGCTGTTGGCTTCCTCAGGTTCTAAATGCTTACAGCATGTTGTTAAAAAAAGACTTGGTAAACATTTCACTGTCCCAACTTGTTTGAAACATGTTGCTGGCATTAAATTCAAAATGGGCATATTCTCAGTTTCATTTCTCAGTTTCAACATTTGTATTTGTCTAGTTGTATAGTTGTCTTTGTACTATTTTCAATGAAATATAGGGTTTAAATGCATGATTTGCAAATCATTGCATTCTGTTTTATGTATTTATATTTTGCAAAGCATCCCAACCTTTTCGGGAACAAGCGAGGTTAAAACGTTAAAAGGCCAACCTCTGCAGAAGTTTGTCAAGTTCGTCTTTCTGCCTGTTGTTCATGTTACATACTGTTGGAGCTGGATTAGTCTTCCCAGAGGAAGACAGGTAATGTAATCTCTGTGGCATTTGGCCGATTGGTTTGGGATGAAGTAAATCCCACAGAAAGCCTGGTTTTTTTAATTGCCCAGATGTTCATATCAGCATTACACTACAGGCCACATTCATTACTCTGCAATTATTACTGTCAGACTGTAAAAACTACACACACTGCAGATTCATACTGGATTAAAATCACTCCACAATTATTACTGTCAGACTGTAAAACTACACACACTGCAGATTCATACTGGATTAAAATCACTCCACAATTATTACAGTCAGACTGTAAAAACTACACACACTGCAGATTCATACTGGATTGAAATCACTCCACAATTATTACTGTCAGACTGTAAAAACTACACACACTGCAGATTCATACTGGATTAAAATCGCTCCACAATTATTACAGTCAGACTGTAAAACTACACACACTGCAGATTCATACTGGATTAAAATCACAATTATTACAGTCAGACTGTAAAACTACACACACTGCAGATTCATACTGGATTGAAATCACTCCACAATTATTACAGTCAGACTGTAAAACTACACACACTGCAGATTCATACTGGATTAAAATCGCTCCACAATTATTACTGTCAGACTGTAAAACTACACACTGCAGATTCATACTGGATTAAAATCACTCCACAATTATTACAGTCAGACTGTAAAACTACACACACTGCAGATTCATACTGGATTAAAATCACAATTATTACAGTCAGACTGTAAAACTACACACACTGCAGATTCATACTGGATTAAAATCGCTCCACAATTATTACTGTCAGACTGTAAAACTACACACACTGCAGATTCATACTGGATTGAAATCACTCCACAATTATTACAGTCAGACTGTAAAACTACACACACTGCAGATTCATACTGGATTAAAATCGCTCCACAATTATTACCGTCAGATTGTAAAACTACACACACTGCAGATTCATACTGGATTAAAATCACTCCACAATTATTACCGTCAGACTGTAAAACTACACACACTGCAGATTCATACTGGATTAAAATCGCTCCACAATTATTACCGTCAGACTGTAAAACTACACACTGCAGATTCATACTGGATTAAAATCGCTCCACAATTATTACTGTCAGACTGTAAAACTACACACTGCAGATTCATACTGGATTAAAATCACTCCACAATTATTACTGTCAGACTGTAAAACTACACACTGCAGATTCATACTGGATTAAAATCGCTCCACAATTATTACTGTCAGACTGTAAAACTACACACTGCAGATTCATACTGGATTGAAATCACTCCACAATTATTACAGTCAGACTGTAAAACTACACACACTGCAGATTCATACTGGATTAAAATCACTCCACAATTATTACTGTCAGACTGTAAAACTACACACACTGCAGATTCATACTGGATTCAAATCGCTCCACAATTATTACTGTCAGACTGTAAAACTACACACTGCAGATTCATACTGGATTGAAATCACTCCACAATTATTACAGTCAGACTGTAAAACTACACACACTGCAGATTCATACTGGATTAAAATCACTCCACAATTATTACAGTCAGACTGTAAAACTACACACACTGCAGATTCATACTGGATTCAAATCGCTCCACAATTATTACTGTCAGACTGTAAAACTACACACACTGCAGATTCATACTGGATTCAAATCGCTCCACAATTATTACTGTCAGACTGTAAAACTACACACACTGCAGATTCATACTGGATTCAAATCGCTCCACAATTATTACTGTCAGACTGTAAAACTACACACACTGCAGATTCATACTGGATTAAAATCACTCCACAATTATTACCGTCAGACTGTAAAACTACACACACTGCAGATTCATACTGGATTAAAATCGCTCCACAATTATTACTGTCAGACTGTAAAACTACACACACACTGCAGATTCATACTGGATTAAAATCACCCACAATTATTACAGTCAGACTGATTAAACTACACACACTGCAGATTCATACTGGATGAAAATCACTACAATTATTACTGTCAGACTATGAAAACTACACACACTGCAGATTCATACTGGATTGAAATCACTCCACAATTATTACTGTCAGACTATGAAAACTACACACACTGCAGATTCATACTGGATTAAAATCACCCACAATTATTACAGTCAGACTGATTAAACTACACACACTGCAGATTCATACTGGATGAAAATCACTACAATTATTACTGTCAGACTGTAACACTACACACTGCAGATTCATACTGGATTAAAATCACTCAAATAATTACTGTCAGACTGTAAAACTACACACACTGCAGATTCATACTGGATTAAAATCACTACAATTATTACTGTCAGACTATGAAAACTATACACACTACAGATTCATACTGGATTAAATTCACAAATCCTGTCCATATCTATTATATTACACTACCTCCTTAGATGTAGCTAACCCATCTTAAACAAGGCTTAAGATCTGCAGGGACCAAGACATAGACCTTTAATATACCCAGTATAATGTGCAATTGCATACCACCAAGATTTAGCCAAGGAGAAAATCATGTTTAAAAAATATCATTAATAATTCATCAGTGAGTGTGAATGAATGGCCTCCTACCAGTAATTTAAATGTTACTGCTTAGACATGTCGACATTGGGCTTAAGAGCTTAAGAGCACCAGCCTCTCTGAGACTGACCACATGCATCTGGCCTTTCTTAACATATAATGGCTCTAAGTGCCTCCTATTACGACCATATTGTACTCTCCAATAACCCACCCACTCGACCAGACCCTTAAACACACACACAATGGTCTGGGAGGATTCTGTGTAACAGTGTAGGTAGATCATTTGACATTCAGATCATTTGTAAAGGAGCTGTAAATAAATCACAGTCTGCACATTTAGGTCCATGGCAAGCTCTACTGCATCATCGCCAACCACATCCACCTACCCGTTCACACACAGCGGCCGCGCATAAGAAGCAGCTATAAATGATTACAGTTTGCATTTGTTGATAGCCTGGTGTTGCGCGATGCCTTGTTGGTGATGGATTTCACAGCTTTTAGTTTGGTGTGACTGTTGACGAAAAGACTGGAAAAGAAAAGACTGAGAAAATGCTTAGGTGTCAAG